GGAAGTTACTATCTCTCTCTCTCTCTCTCTCTCTCTCTCTCTCTCTCTCTCGTATTCAATTCTCGACCGTTTTACGCTTGTAGGTATCGAATGTGCGAGCTCGGCGAAAATCACTGGGTAGAGACCTTAATTCCATCGGAGACTGCCTTTTTTAAATGCAATACGTAATACAAATAAAAAAAAATTCTACAACACCACGACGGTGTACTCTCGTGGACGACGGTTATTATCTCTTCACAAATTACATCGAGGTAGCATACCAGGGCTTTTGGTCTCAGCCGTGATAAACCCATCCACTGCTATCCTTCGTCGTCCTTCCCTCCCTCTTGTCTTCCCAACCCCCCTGTCTCTATTATTTTCAACCGCCCAACTTCTGATATACCACCTGCAACCTCATTTACCTAGCTACTCTATGTACGTTAGACAACACTTATTACCGAGGTAATACAATCGCATAATGCGCCCCTCGTCTTCGCGCCCACGATAATGCCTAATTTAATGGCAAGGAGGAGCATCGCAATCTCGAGTCTAACGAGAGATTACTGTCCGGATGTTACGCGCCGTCGATCAAATTAATTTACAATTATGATCGTAGCGATATCGCTTGTCCGAGCTTGTCTTCGCTTCGAGACGCGCGAATATATATATCAGACTGTGTACGCTTCGAAAAATCCGACGAGCTCGAAATTCGAGTTGGCCAACTTATCTACTTTACACTTCTTCCAAGTTAAAATGGAAAATATCTACACTATTTTGAGTGTTACGCGTGTTACTCGTTATACGTATTCAAATTATATTTCTTATTTCTAGAAACTTGACAAGTAAGATATTTTCCTGAATTTCTTTCTGAATTTTGTTTAAATTGAAATTTTTATCCGCATTTGATATCGCACTGGCTATTTTAGTAATATGATATTAGCCTCATGGTATATGGTGCTTATTTACCTTAACGTGATGAAAATGTTCGACGTAAAAAGAGTTGACAGAGTGACTAACGAGGAAAGTTTGACAACAAAGTTCGGCAAATTCAAAAATAAGAGAACTATGTACAAGTGTAGAACAGTTCGACTCTAACATGCAACTATTTTCGTTACGGATAAAAAACGGATTTGGAGCGTGAAAAAATCAACTCGAAATTGGCCCAGAGAATACAGGTTGCAAAAATTTCGAGAACATTGTAGAATCGCTATATTTTAAAATGGAATTGAAATGCGACATTTTTTTCTTTCGTATTCGTACAATCACGAAATGATAAATGTGTGTAATTAATTCCCAAAATATGCTTAGGTTGCTTAAAAAAAAATGTTGAGCATTAACCGCTTAACAAGCTCGTGTGACTGTATCACGTGTTGCCGATCTTCCTTGTACATACATATGCATGTAGGTGCATGTACACGCATACACATACACCCGTATACACATATACTGTCGCATACATTGTGCGTGGGAATGTATCGGAGAAATTGAGGAGGACGATCGATAGATGAACGCTGAACGGTGAGCTACTGCAAGCTCTTCTCCAGCGGTCGTGTTTGAATCGATAACACTCGCGTTCAATGCGCAATCCTTAGGTATATTTGATGATTTTGCTGATGTATAATCATGAATAAGGAATTATTTTGAATTATTTTCTTTCTTGCCGAATTCAAATTGTACTTGAGACACATAAGCTTTAAGATCACTGTCTTTTCCATCTAAAGTGATATAAGACAAAGCAAACAATATATATATATTTTTAAATCAACTTTAAATTAAATGAATGTCATTTTGTGAAAGAAAAAGAAAAAAACGAAATTTCTAAGACTTGCGAAATTAAAAAAAATGTCCTTTTGACAAGAGTGAATATAAAAATGAAGTATAAATTCCTTTTAACATTCTTCTGCGAGAATCCCGATCTCATTGCGAGTCATCCTACGTAGCTGTTCAGAAACGGAAAAATTTCTCTAAGAATGAAAGAAAAGTTCTTTAAGGAATCTATCAAAGAACTGGGATCGTACTAGATACTCCATGCTGGGGAGAGCAAAAGTTTCCTTTAACACTTTTAATACATCAACGGGGATGAAGCATTTAAAAATCCAAGATAAAAACACGGCGGGTTGGACGAGCGCTTTATTTTATCTCGAATTACTGTTTCGAGTTGAGCAGACCGCGGAGAAGAGACAATTAAAACTTTAAGCTGAAATAGCACCACCGTCACCGTCACTTGGACAAACTGAATTCTTCGGATGGTGGAAAGCTTTCTTTAGGACAACAGCTCGCTCACGGGAGGGAAACTTTTCGCGACGATTTAGAACGCTTGACTGGTGCATTCTTAAAGAATACTTATATATATTTCAATCTATATATATATATATATATATATATATCGAAATCATCTCAACTTTTTACACTTAATAAAAATAATGACTTGAAAAAAATAATAAATGATTAGTAATTAAATTAATAAGAGAATTTAATGTATAATATTTTATCTAATAAAAGTATATATCTTATTTTTAGTGGTGGAAGATCAGGCTCACGGAACGATAAACACGGATGATGCTGAAAATCCTGTAAACCACGAAAGAAGTAAATAAAAATTGAATTTCTTAGTGAGGTACTAACATTCGGTCTGTATGTGTAAATGATGTTTTTAATGTAGACGAAGAGGAAGAAGAAGAGGATGAAAATGAAGAAGAAGAAGAGGAAGAAAGTAGATTCCAGGAAACCGATTTTAAATTAGACGAGTTTCTTAAAAGGTGAGATAATGAGATCACAGAGTTCTAAATTTATCGATTTTTTTATTTATAAATCAATCGTTGATCGATTCTTTTATATTTTCAGTAACTTATTCTTGAACATTAATTATTCCGATTAAATAAATTTTTAAACAAAATTTGATTAAAACTTGGATTTTAAGATTTTTTTCTTTGTTTAAAATGAAACGTAAAGTTTTATTATCTGCTTGCATTTTTAAAACTTCTTTATTACAATCTATTAAAGAGAAATTTTGATTTGGTAAATCAGAACATACATACAGAACGTAAGAAAGAGCATTTTTGTAAAAAATAATATATTAATTGAAGGTTTGCTAATGTGAAGATTGTCAAGGCTTTAGCACTACTACTGCAACAATTTGAGACCAATACAGTCGAAACAAATCACTACATAATAAAAATGTTACATCGGATTGCTTGGGATTGTAAAATGCCTGGTATGATATTCCAAGCGTCCATATTTCGGATTTTTCAACGAATTCTCGACTCAAAAGATCCTACACATAAGGTAACAGAGCGCACAAAATGAATCACATAATAACTACGATAATTAATTACATTAATTGTATTTTCTATTAATTTGGAATTATTAATACAAGATTATACTTTTGATATTTTTTTAATATAATATTCCTTAATAGATCTTCTTTTCTCCGCGACATCATATTTATCATTTTTTTGCACATAACAACAATATGAATAAAACTTAGCTGTTTCTTATCTTGGCAATAAAAATTCTCTTCCTTTCTCGTACCGCGCGCGATAAATTCCACTACCAAGCTTTCATCATTGCATCCTTGTATCGAGCTTAATGGTTCACGGAAGTGGACTCGTCGAGCAGCAGAAAAATCGATTTCCTTCTTCAGGAGCTCCAAAAGTTCGCGGTCTTCATAATCCGCCGTTTCATCGAAGTCGCTCAGAAAAACCGGAAGTCGTACATGGAGCTGCTCTTCTGGAAGACCACCCGCGACGCGACAGAAATCGTGGATGGCTACAACGCGGAAACGACTAACAAGAAAGTTTCACGAGCGACCTGGACGGAGGCGGAGGAGGATGAGCTGCGCACCCTCTTCATGGAGCATCAGACTAACAAATATCCTCAAGGTAAACTCTTTATATCGTCTATTTCTCACGGAGGAGTCTCGTGCACACGTCGTTGAACTCGATAAATTAGTACCCTTTACGAGAACGTGCCTGAAATGTAGAACTTCTTGTTACCTAATGCAAAAACAAAAATATAAGAAATATAAATGATTCAATGCGATCGATCCGCGCTATAATCCTCATTATAATATTTTATTATTATTATTATTATTATTATTATTATTATTTTAATCTACAAAGAAATACTTCCATTTATTCTCAAATGTACAAAAATATGGAAAATATAAGTTGGACGTACAGAATAGGATATATCTCATATGATAATTGTAAATACTGTTAATTTATAGATTTAATTGACTGGCTATTGGAGCATATCATCAACGAAAATAGAACGCGACGTACCATCATCAAGAAACTCAAAGAGATGTGTTTGATTGTCAATTCTAAGGTCAGTTTTATTTTACTTTTATACTTTATATTGTTTCTTTATATTGTAAAAATAACACCATTTTTTAGACGACAAAGAGAGCAACCTGATCGCGAACCTTTTTCGATAGTAATCTATTTATTTTAAGCTAATATTTTTTTTGTCGGAATGGAGAAACAACCTTAAAAGATTTAGCGAGGAAATTTCTGTTTTTCCGCTAAAAAAGCACCGGTCCATCTATGTGCCCCGCGGCAATCCCCGTTGCGCTCCGTCTGACAAGATCAATGATTTACGAGAATCTTGGAAGGAGCCTGAGGGTGAGAGTGCGGGAAGGGGGAGGGGGGGGGGATCGTTCGCCCGGCCTCGAAAATAAGTTTCTAGACTGCCTCCGCTGACGGGGTGAACATATGCAAAAAAATGGAGCCGGGAATTGCTACAGGAACTGTAAATTCTCCGGAGACAATACCTCTCTACGGGGTGAGGGGTGCTTTTCACCCTCGTTTCTTCGGTTCTTTCTCCCACGGTTCCTTCCACTGTCGCGTGAGGTTTCCAACGCGAGTTGCGTGCCTCCTTCTATTCAAGCCGGTAGTCTCTTTTTCCGAGCCTGGAAAATGTCTGTGTGCGACCCCCTCGTCAACTCTGGCGGCCCTAAAACCGGCGGCTGCTTGAGAAAAGCTATCGTTTTGTTTGCCTTCTGCCTTACGACATACGTATAAACATTTGCATCACCCTTCGGGCTACGAAAACGCAAAGGGAACGTGACCCAAGTGCTTCGTTGTGTTTGTTGAACTGTAAATACGCGTGTTATGAGCGGGTATTCTATAACTCCCGTTTTGACAGAGAGCGAATTGAAATACTTCGCTTAAATAAATCATAAAAATAATGTAAATTCTCTCTCTTTCTCTCGTCTCTCTTTTGACGAGACAATCATATATATTTTTTTCAGAGATATATCTAATACTTAATTAATCCTAGAAATAATACTATGTATATTTTTTTCGGGCCATTAACATTTCTTGAAGAAACATTTCCGAGAAGTATATTAATCTCGCTAAGCTTGGAAACGTTCCCTTTTCCCTTCGTTATAACTCTTTTCTCCTGAAAATACACAGTGCAATACGGTGATAAAGCATAGGAATGCGTTAATCAAGCTTCTTATTGCGGCAGAGGAGTTACTAACTAGTTACCGGCTTATTTAAAACTTGAAATTAATTGAGTTTGTAGGGAAAGCTCCTAACAAGGGAAAAAAGCGTAGCGGAGGATAAGCGATGCAATACACAATACCGGATCTTATTCCGTTGCGCTTTTCGTAGACAAAATAAGCGGCATAAGAGATTCAGCAAAAAGTGCTCGTTTATTGGAGAGACGTCAGCATTTTTGACGCAAGAGTCACGGTAATTATTTTCCAAATAAAACGCTGACCGATCGCTCGTAATCCTCGTTCAAAACATAAATATCTCGATCGTTCATTGAAGTTTTGTTTCGCCTGTTTAACCGAAATCCATTTGACGTGAGTAATTATTTTGTCGAAAAGATGGAGTATGATTAATTTTTCGATAATGTTTTACGACATTAATCAGCCGCACGATCGAGGAGAAAAAAAAAATATTTGTTTCCCCTCCGATCTTAATTCGCTATTAATCACAAGCGTGCAGTCACCGGCGGAAAGGAGGGTGGCTACGTCGGCGGAAACGTTTCCTCCAACGTATTATCGATTCCTTCGCGAAGCCTTCCGGTAGAAAGGCTTAGCCGCGGAAGCGTTTCATTTAAATAATTTCATGCGTGAGTACGTTTCGTCTCTTTGAGCGAAGAGAGTACGGTCGAAGCAGAGACTACGGCCGAGTATTCATTTGACATTCATTTAGTTCGTGGAAGTCGCGCGATATTGCTCCGACGGCCATTTAGGGGCCTCGTTTCACCGAGGGTGGAGCGTAATCGCTGGAAAACGAGCGACCCAGCTTCTTCTTTTTAAATACGCCTACTGACTTAGAAGCTTCTCCAGAGATTATACATGGGACGCTTTGTCTCATCAAGCCTGGAGATTATGCACATGCAAAGTACCTTCCGCGAAGATTATAGATGTTAAATAGCTGAGTGCTAATATACACACACACACACACACACAC